AACCACACACCTTGCTCCACTGGATTACAAATCTGGACTCTAAATTGTCATTCAGTTGAAAGCTAAATATAACTTGCAAACTATTTAGCTGAAAAGTTCTGGTTCTGTAGGACACACTGCAGAAGAGGCTTCCTTTGAGACTGAGATGCCATACAGTTTTCCGTCTTTGAAGTGCACAAACTTTGCCAAGAATTTCCCGAACTAAAGGACCTGTCTTATTCAAATGAACAGGGCAGCGATAAGAAGCTTGTATTAATGTATCAATAAATTTTGTATTGATGCATCAACAACTTTGTTAGTACTACTTTTAAGGCTGCATCTTCATGTAATAAGAACTATATGTTTTAACCAATTTATTCCAGAGATCAGTAAATTCTTATCTTGCTAGCATATACAAGGACATTTGAAGTCAAATTGAGATCTGCTGTGACTGGATGCAGCTCTGACAAGCTCAGCAGGTGAATTTCCCTAACATTGCTTCAAAGACTACAGTTCAGCACAAGGGTAACAAACAGCTGCTTACCACCAGCAAGACTATTTGACAAGTGACTGTTACTTTTTTTAATCACACACTTTAATCTTTCATAAACTTTAAGTTCTACATTCAATTACAGTTGAAGCTACTCTCATCAGGAACCTCCTTTGGGAAAGATTCTGGAAATAAAGTAGTGCCTTCAGGCTAGCAAAGCTCAAGACATTTTTCAAGTTGCCACAATGATTTGAGTGATTTAGCCATTGCTAAATTATGCTCTGTGTGTTCAGTTACATCTACTACAGATTCTACAGTTAGAAGTTCTGTAACTAAAAGCATTACTTCAGATGTTAAAGTAATTATATTTAACACCACCTTTTTTAAGCTTGATAAATCTATCCTATGCTATAGATATTTCTACAAAGGAAAGCTTGAATGTTCATCTCAAGAGAACACTATGTGAACAGACAATGTATTTATTTAAGTTAAGTTGCACACTACACAATATACCAACAACACAAAACTAGAGAGCACTGGAAATAGAAAGGAGAAAGCCATTTTGACACAGAAGCATCACTTTGTTCACTGTCATTTTTACATTAACACTCTAAAAGGTAACAAAAGGTTGCACTGAACCTAAGTTGCTTAGGTTTTGCTGAGGACTGTTCATTGCTTTTTTTTTTTTAAGTTTACAATGAAAGATGCTCAGCTACCTCTCCCTGTCCTAAAATTAAGGCAAGAGTATGCTGCTAATAGAATCACATTATTGCTATTGGATGGGTTTGCCAGGTACTTTGGGGGATATTGATACAGTAGTAAGAACTCAGTGAGGCCTTAGCACAAATCAAAAAGCGATGTCCCTTATCTTACATACTAACTGGGGGAAAGCAAAGTGCAACAAACGCATCTCCTGATGCTGTCAGCTCACTGTGTAAATACAGTCCTGTCCTTTTCCAAGTACTGATATCAAGCTGCTTTTGAGCAGTTAGGCTCACATATACTAACTGACATTTGCTAGATGTTGGAAAAATTCAGCTGTCGCATTCTCAGAAATTATATAGGAGGAAAAGCAGACTGTAGCAAGCAACAGATGCTTTCATCAGGACAGCAAAACATTCATGACAGTACTACAGTCTGAGAAACCAAACACACCCAGTTTTCACCAAGAGACTAGCAATTTAAACCAGCTTTTAGATGTGAGTATATATACATGACTTGTCTTATCTACTTCATCATTTTCCCTGCAATGCCCTAACAAAGCAACAAAAACAGGAACAAAATTTCACAAAATGTTTTCTGAAATATCAACCAATGGGATATATTTGAACATCCCTAGAGTTCTACATTAAACAGTAGGAAAGTTGAAAAACATTATTTTCAATTTTCCATTTATTAATTTGTTGTTTAGATAAATCCCAGCCAGAGATTCAGTCCCTTGGAGCCCATACAAAGGATTTTTAGAACATTAAAAACCAAAGTTAACTATTGAGACTGCTGGTTTATTTTTCAGTAGAAGGAATTCTGCTAAACAAGGAAGTGATGTTCTAACTTCATTAGAGTATTCAAATTTCAGTTTCAAACATCTGAAGTTGAATTTTTCATGTAATCTCTTGCTTTGGATCAAGCTACAACTAAAAGTGTTGTTTTCAGTTAGTTTGGCATCAGATTAAAAATAATTTCTGATGCTTGGACAGTAATAGATCTGTGTCAGATAAAATGCCTGAAAATCACTGCAATACTGAAGCAATAAATGTAACTCATTAGTTGAGTCAGGTGGATTATTTTGGTATCTGCACTATTCACTGCCCTGAATTTCTTTAACAACTGAACTTGATAACAGAACAGGAATAATACCCATGTGAAACAGTAAGGAAAAAAAAAATCAGCACATATTACACTAATTTCACTAACAGAAACAAGAGACAGAATTAAATTATTGCTCCTTGGTATCTAAATTTAATTTGCAGTAAAACTAAACCAACAACACATCAAGGAGAATTTCATTATTTACCTAGCTGTCTTAATGCAAGTCCTAAAAGCACAAAAAGAAACAAAGCCTAAGATGGTGCAGTGTGAGCAGTAACACAACTGCATTCCACTCATGCCCAGTCCGCTGGGCTTCACACCTAGAAGCCACTGAAAGACATTGAGGCCCTGGACCATGTCCAGAGAAGGGCAACAAAACCGGTGAGGGATCTAGAGCACAAGTCTTATGAGGAGCAGCTGAGCGAGCTGGGATTTAGTCTGGAGAAGAGGAGGCTCAGGGGAGACCTCACTGCACTCTACAACTTCCTGAAGGGAGGCTGTGGTGAAGAGGGGTTTGGCCTCTTCTCCCAGGCAGTGAACAGGACCCGGCGAAATGGCCGCAAGTTGTACCAGAGGAGGTTTAGGTTGGACACAAGGAAAAACTTTCTCTCAGAGAGTGGTCAGACACTGGAATGGCTGCGCAGGAAGGTGGTGGAGTCACCGTCCCTGGCACTGTTTAAGAGGCATCTGGATGAGGAGCTGCGAGATACGGTTTAGATTATAGTAGTGGTGGTAATGAGAAGATGGTTGGACTAGATGATCTTCTAGGTTGTTTCCAACCTTGTGATTCTACTATTCTATACATTACTTAACTGCTAGCACTTAAAAGTCAGCATGTTTTAAAAGAGCATTTAATTCTGAGAATATTCTGCATTGTAACACGAAGATACGGAGCTCTTCTGGCAGTGTTGCAATCATTCCCACTTCCCCTGTAAATCATAACCATCTCACTTTGGTAAGCTCAGTAATCAAAGGTTGGGGTGGTAAGTAGAAAAGGTGGCTCATTACAGAAGTATTAGGAAACAGCAAGAAAGGAAAATGCAGCAGCTTGAAACAGAAAGACAAGAATAGAGACAAGTGACAATTCATACAAGCCCAGAATAATTTATCTAATTTTAAGCAATGATGACAAGGGAAAATATGTTGATATTTGGGCATGATTGCGTTCCAAGATCTTTGTTTTAGAAAAGAAGAACGCTGAAGGCATAAGACTTCTCCCAAATGCAGAAGGAAAAACTAATACTACTAAGAGACAGTCACTCCAACCAGCAGTCAGATGGACTGTGTCCCCAAGGATTTTCAGAAGCTTCTCTTGAGCTGAAGTATAAACATGAAGAAAATATATAGCAATTCTGATGTTTCATATTAAAATAAGTTCTGTAGAAGCATTCACACCCCTTCCCATAAGAAACAGACCACTGTCCAAACAACTACTAGATTCCTCTTCAGATGTCTTTTCTATTCTATACTGTTCTTCATAAAATCTTAGTCCAAGATTTCTGACCTTTCTTTGCTGTCTTGGTCCCTTTTGACTTAGGCTACTATTTGTTCTTCTTAAGCAACACAGAGGACTGCTACTGATACTGTAGTATACTTGATGCCTGAAAGACAATTGGTGCAGCAGAAAAACCAAATACATTGTACTTAGTTCACAATAGCCTAACAGAAATCAAGACTCAGTGCTGTATGTGGTATATCTGTATCAAATAACTGGTAATAAATTCAAGTCAGATTTTCAAGCATAATTGGCATTTCTTAGGTAGCGTCAAGCCCACAGTGGTCTCAGGAAGTTGAAGGTGCTCATCCATCTCCCACAGTTAAACTACTTGCAGTTATTTTTATGTTTGTCTTCTATTTCTATCCAAACAGTATGCTTAACTCTCTTCCTGCAGTAAGCATACATCCATATGGGAATGAGGCCACAACGCCAGCTTTGCAAATTTTTATTTCCAACCCTTTGACAATAGGCTACTGAGAGTTGGGAGTTAACATATCCAGCTCTAATCAGGTAAGCTTGTTATTAGTATATTGAACATAAAAAGTAAATATTCATATAACTAAGTTCTACTATCACCTCTCCTAGGGTTCTTGTCCTCTTTACAACAGAAAACAGAGAAAGCATATGAAAGAATTTACTTAATCTCATGCAAGTTAGAATTATTCTAACATTTTAATATGTTCTCACGCAAACCACCAACACAAGAATGAGGGAAGTAATTTATAACTAACTGAATTTCCAAGCAGTGACAGAATAGTTTTTCCAGCAGTACATTTCTGTGATACAATGATCATTAAATTGAACCATCTACATCGGCATTCTCAGCCAGCCTATTGTTTTATAAAAGAAACCAGCTTTTCCAGTTCACTGCAAACAGATAACAGCAATAAAGTTACTGACTACCATCCACTTATTTAAACATTAGACGGCATTTGTTCACTCTATACACAAAGTGAACATGGGAAAGAACTTAGATTTTTTTTTTCCTCTTTAAGGCATTGATGCATCGGAAGCAGGCCTAACAACCTCCATAAGTGACAAACAAAGCTCTCTGAAAATGTATTAAGTAATTGAATATAGTGTTACTCTTCTGCATCAGAACTTCAGATGATGAAATACATTTTCAAAGGCACTAAGAAATTAAGTTGTCCTACAGCACTTAGAAGCAGTTATTTTAATACCATTAAACAGATGTTCTTACCTTGCTGAAGTTTATTATATTACCTGATAATTCAAAGAGAAGTAGAAACAATTCTGTAGAACTGCACATGTAATCAGAGTCAAGAACATTTCCACATATGGGTAAGTCCTGTGTTAAAGTTGTAGAAGTTGTATGCATACGTATGTACATATGTTAAATATAAGCAGGTTCAACAGAATAGGCTATCCTATGTCCCATCCAGCATTTATTCAAAATAATCATCACAGAATCATACAGAATCATAGAATGGCCAGGATTGGAAAGTAGCTGAAGGATCATGAATCTCCAACCCCCTGCCACATACAGGGCCACCAACCTCCCCATTTAATACTAGGCAATTTCTGCTCACACATTCTACCTTTACAGTGTCATAGCCTGCAAGTACAACAGGTGATTCTTCATTTCAAGTGGCTGAATTACAGCTTATCCCAGCACCTTTGAGTTTCACACTAAGGAACACAGTGCTCACAACAAAAGAATAAGATGCCAGCATACATCATTACACCTTACTATAAGTTACACAGACCAGACACAAAAAAGGTAAGAACGAAAAATCACATATGACCCAGCTTTCACAGCATATACAAATAAGGGAACTGTAACACCATCATGCAATGGAAAGTGTAGCAACAACAGCAAAGCCCCAGGCTACAACAGCTGAGGATGCGTTCAAATGCAGCAGCCACAGCACAGCAATAAAGAAAGATATAAGAAAGAATCTACTTACTCTTAGAAGGCCTCACGTACGTGTAAATCTCCAGCAAGACACCCTTGCCTCTACTGCTTCAACCCTTAAATGAGGTCTGGGAAGGGGTTGATCCTGGCTCCACCCCTTTCAGTCACTCAGGTGCACTGCATTGCATGCAACTGAACTCACCTGGGTTGGCCCTACCTCTCTACCAGGTGCTCAATCTCTGCTTCAGGCCATGACTTAGTATTTCCACTACAGGAACCTAAAGTACTCAGGAACTCAAATGTAGTCACAGACAAACATAACAACTGAACACTATTTATTAAGGACTTAGATAAGTTTAAAAAATGAAACCTTATAGGTCAACTTCTTAAAGAAGTCCATATTTATGATGAACATCTCCAATGCACGTATTCCCACATAACAATAATATACTGGTAACACTATAAAAAAAAAAAAAAAAGTTTTTGTCACAGTACAAAGGCTATCAGCTCTATAAGATGAAAAACCAAACTTGATAGGCTCAAGCCCACCCTAGCCAGGTGATGCAGAGAAGAAGTCAGCTAGGAGCCCAACTCACCAAACAAACTAACAGAGATGAAACAGGCCCCCAGATAAACTAGTCTAGCCTGCCTTAGGGCAGGCCCTCACCCATGAGAAGCATAGATGTAATACCACCACTTCTGAATACAAACATCAATAATACAGCTCAGGTAGTAAAGACCAGGCTTTAAATAAAGTATCACCCATGGGCACAGGTGTGGGTGGAGGCCCCAGGTGAAAACAGGGTAATTAACACTTCAGTGTATCCAGAGAGCTTGTATGAGTGATTTAGGAAAGCATAAAAACATTTTCTACCAAGTAAACACTATATCAACAATGATGTACAGAGTAATGCCAGATATCCAGTGTATATAGTGGATATGTTAGTATTTGTTTCCAAAAGCAAGAAGTACCACAGTGTTTTTGTTTGCATTGGGCTAGGAGGAAGAAAAAGTAATTAACAACTTAAATGCTTCTGTCTTCAATAGAATTTACTGACAGTAATAATATTACCAATGCCTTCTTCATTAGAATATATGGACAATTCACCTTTACATAACTGAAAACAATGAAGTGACCTGCTATTTAAATCAGGCAGCAACTCATATAAACTTGTGAGGCAAAAATAAATTGTTCAGACCAATGGAAGACTGAATCAAAATACAAAATATTCTTAACTTACAAGATATGGCTTCAAAGGAAGTACCAAAAATGTTCCCAGAAAGGATGCTCAGAATTCTTAGAAGGCTTGGAACGACTTCATAGACAGCTAAGCAAATTGCTAGAAAGAACTAGGAATGGTCTCACAAAGAACAAACGCTCTTTAGAAGATGTATAGCTGGCCATAAAATACAAAAGCAAATGATGAGGGAACATTCCTCCCCATAAGTTAGTAGTAAGAAATTGACCATAAAAAAAAAAAAAAAAGCAGAAAGTAATGCAGTTGAAAATATCTGAACACTCACTGTGTTGGATTTTCAGTTTGATATTTGAAACACAGCAAAGACAGTGATGGGCAACGTTCGATTTCTCTAAGAGCTGATGTCTACTCCCTCAGAACTGTTGGATCTGCAAGGAGAAACGAGTCATTTTTGAAGATCAGCTGCCATCTAGTGAATATTGAGAAAATTGTGTTGGCTCTGTTTTGCTTTCGGTTTTATTGCTGTTTTTTTCGAGGGGGGTTGACAGTTTAGACAAGATTCTTGTAGGTAGATCTTTTTGCCACTTTGTCGGTATTGAATCTTGGGTCTGCAAAAGTTTTGGGAGCACTCAAAGGTATGCATTCCAATCCAGGGCAGCCACTCAGCAATGCTTCCCATGGATACTCATAAATAAGGTTTTCATTCTGCCATTCACTCTCTCTCAAAAAAAGGCAATTTTGCCCACTTTCAAAAAGCTGTATTAATAATTCTGTGGCTCTGCTTCTCTTTAATGAGTTCCTATGAGGTATTTAGAATTAGCTGAACTAACAATATTGCCTCTTTTTGTACTGTTTTGTGTACAGCCCTTGGCTCACACAGGACCATGATAAAGCGGGAAGCCGTCAGAAGGACGAACAGCCCGGTCCTGAAGTGAATCCCTGCCTGCCCCGTGAGACGGGGATCCCAGTTCTGGGGAGGGGGAGGGGGGGGGGGGGGTCTCAAGTGGAGTCTGTGCGTGTAATTTTACTCACAATCAAGCTACTGACGAGACTGAAATTATGCACACCATAAATCTCACAGATGATGGTTTTATCTCGCATCCTAGCAGGTTTTTTGCGGATGAGTTGCTACAGCTGACGCAAGCGCACCCTCCGGTGGAACACGCACTCCGCCCAGCGAAGCCAAGCGCCGCCGGGCCTCACGGGAAGGAGGCGGGAATGTGCGAGGGGAGGCGGAGCCCCACTGTGTGCGCGTGCTCGCACCGCGGCGCGGACTGCGATTCGCGGGGGTTGGCGGCGTGCCGCCGGCTGCGGGTGAGCGAGCAGCGCGCCGCCATGGAACTGGCGCCCCTCAAGCTTCTACCCCCGGACCCCGGGGACGAAGGCACGCAGCGGTGCAGGCTGGGCCCCGCCGCCCTCTCCTCCCTAGGGGTCCGGCTGGGCGCTCCGTTGCGGATCTCCCTGCCCGCCGGCAGCTATCTGTGCACGGCGTGGCCGCGGCCGGACCTGGCGGACGGGTACGTGCAGGCGGACCCGGCCTGCAGCACCGGGCTGACGGGGGCGGCCCCGCGCGGGCTGACGCTGAGCCCCGGCTGCCTGCAGCCGCTGTCTTCCCGCCGCCTGCGGGGGGCGGCCGTGCGCGCGGTGCTGCGGGGCGGCGCGCGCGGGCGGCCTGCGGGGCTGCAGGAGGCGGTCCGCGATCTGCTGACCCACGTCTACGTTTCCCCTCGCTACGTCGTTACTGCTGGTCCTCGTGTCCGCGCTCCCGTGGTGCACGTGGAAATTCTCTCCGTAGACCCCGCGACGGAGGAAGCCGGGCTGATAACCCCCCAGACGAACGTGACGATTACGGAGGTGATGACTTTAGAACGGTACAGGCTCTTAACGGAGGACACGGCAGAAATTCCCGTGGCGGGGCTGGACGATGTGGGAGAGTCTCTGAAGGAGATGGTCGACCTGCCGTTCCGTTTCCCGAGGACGTTTAAGAAGCTGGGGCTTTCCGTCCCCAACGGGGTGCTGCTGGTCGGCCCTCCAGGGGTGGGGAAGACGCTCCTGGTGAAGGCAGTGGCGAAGGAGGTGGGCGCGTATCTGCTGTGCGTCAGCGGCCCCGCGCTGTACGGCTCCAGGCCGGGGGAAAGCGAGGAGAATTTGCGAAGCGTCTTTGAAAAGGGCAGGGAGATGTCCTGTGAGGGCCCGACCGTGCTCTTTATTGATGAGATCGATGCTTTGTGCCCGAAACGACGGAGCTCCAGCAGCGCTCCTGAGGATCGCCTGGTTGCTCAGTTGCTGACGCTGCTGGACGGTGCTGGTGCTGGTAAAGATAGGATGGTGGTTGTGGCAGCGACAAACAGGCCTGACGCCTTGGATCCTGCGCTGAGAAGGCCAGGCAGGTTTGACAGAGAAGTAAGCAGACATTGCTATCCGTGCTCAGCCCTCTTTTTTCTTTCTGTTTAGGGGATGTGGTAAGGGGACAGTTGATAAAGACGAGCCCCATTTCACATAGCCAAGCCTGAATTTTATATAACGCATTCAATTAAATAAACCTGTTTGTTATCTAATTCAGCCTTTGTGAACAATGAAATAATAATCTTATTGCTAAGTCAGTTGTTTATATTACCTAAAAACAGGATTTGATGGACAGTGACTAACAATGTCTTATGAACAACTGATTATACAACAACTATTTTCTTGGAAAGTAGGTGTGAAGTAAAGATGCTTTAAATAGCTGTAATCTATGAACTGTTGAATTCCTCCTGAATTCTTTGGTTGCAATATAAGTATGTATAAATCTTCAGAAGTTTGTTTAAAGTGGAGACAAACTTGCTTGGCCAGTTCTACAAAATGAGAGGAATATGATGAAGTAACTACATGAAAATTTTATCTTCCTTGGGTTAGGTTATTATTGGGACGCCAACGCTTACGCAGAGGAGATCCATCCTGCAGATGCTCACCTGTGGTATGCCCATTTCTACAGACGTTGATTTGGTTAAGCTGGCAGAAATGACAACTGGGTATGTTGGAGCTGACCTTACAGCGCTCTGCAGAGAAGCTGCTATGCAGGCTGTGTTCCACAGCTCTTCGGTATGATTGCAAATCGATGAAGAGGAAAGACATGATTATTATCTAACACCCTTTCTCCATTAGCACATAGTTTTATTTGAAAATTTGAGCAAGATGAAGAATTCAGAAATTAGAAAAGGAAAATAATTACTGAAAAAAAAACCACAAGTGTTACAAATGTAAGCCTGCTGTTTCACTTAGTCCCTTAAGTTCCTGTCTTCAAAGTAAATTTTCTTCTTTGTGGGTGGAAGATTTTGCAGGAAGTTTTTATTACATCTTGTTGTGAATGTGTGAAGGCCTGTTTTATTTGATTATTTGAGAGAATCTAGGAACTTGTGTATAGTAACCCTGAATTAGCATCTGTTTGACGTAGTTGGAGCTATGATTTAGGGAGAAAACTTTCTGTAGAATACTTATGTCTGATAAAGTTGTGTTTAAGATCTTGCCATGAAGAGAATATGTTCTACTTTGCTATGTCTTTGTGTGTGCACTGCTTGAGCTTGTTCGGGCAGGGATTTAATTGAGTTGTCTTTGGCCTTTTGTGAAGTACACTGTATGCTAAAAATGTTGCTAATACACCTTGTTTGTTTTCCTTCAGGATTCAGCTGAAGTGCTAATTAACATGGCAGATTTCCAAGAAGCTTTTAAAAAAATTCAGCCATCCTCTTTCCGAGGTGCAGTTGGACTCAAAGAGTGTAAACCCATCACTTGGGAGCAGATTGGTGGTCTTGAAGATGTGAAGTTGAAGTTAAAACAGGTAACATGCAAATACATTTAGATCAAGAGGCAGTTTCTGATGACCTGTTCTCCAAGGTGTTCTGTATGTTATGTTATGGAAATGCATTATCTTACGAGTTACATGGTTTTATATTTTATTTTAAGCATTATTTTCTACTACATTAAGTGACAAGCACTATAATAATTTTGCATCAACATCACAAGATAAGAGCAGCAAGCATAATACAGTGGAATAATTAGTGTGCTTCTGAGTAGCTGATAAACTCTGCAGCAGTCCATCTCTGTATAGCCAGAGGTGGCTCTTGCATATCATCCTTCAAGAATTGCCTTTTATTGCATTTGAGACTGAGAGGGAAGTTCCAGAAGAGTGGCTGTGTGTGTTTTCTACCAAGGAAGGCTAAGTTAGCATTCTGTGTTGCTTTCAAATTAATGTATGCACTAAAGAGTGGAGTATTGTGCTCAGCTGTTCTGTCGGTTGCCTTTGATCTTTAGTTCTGTTACTGAAAATTTCATCCCTTGTTTATGTATTAACAGAGTGTGGAGTGGCCCATGAAATTTCCTCAGGCATTTGTGAGGATGGGGCTGGCTCGTCCAAAGGGTGTTCTTCTCTATGGGCCATCAGGGTGTGCCAAAACCACACTGGTGAAGGCTGTGGCCACAAGTTGCCACTGTTCCTTTCTCTCTGTAAGTGGTGCTGAGCTGTTCTCACCTTATGTTGGAGATTCAGAGAAGATTTTATCTCAGGTACAATTTTCAATTTGTACAAGGTGCAAAGATGACGTGGAAAAAATGGTAGTTAAAACTCTGCCCTAATTATGAAATTGATAACTAACGTATGGTTTCCCATGTATATGAACAGGAAGTCTAGCCCTAAAATGATGACAGTTTTAAGCTTTGAAAATATTTCCACCCTCTTGTTTTCATTTCATTGCGGAATTTAATTCAGAAGCGGAATTTGTCTGTAGGAATGGCAGCTGGAATGGCTTCTTGAATAAATGTTTGTTCTTGCGTGTGAATAAATTTAAGTCCACATCACTAAGTGAAAATAAGACTATATGCAAACAAGCGGTTTCACCTTATCTGAAACAACATATGTGCATTAACATTTGCTTTTAAAAATCCAAAAAACAGGTTTTCCGCCAAGCGAGAGCAAATTCTCCAGCAATAATCTTCCTGGATGAAATTGATTCTATCCTGGGATCTCGATCGTGCGGTAAAACTGGCCGTGGTGTCTCAGAGCGGGTGCTGTCTGTGCTTCTCAATGAGTTGGATGGTGTTGGACTGAAAGTCACAGAAAGAAGAGGGAATAAACTACAGCTTGAGGGGAGATGTGAGGAACTAAGTGATGAGGAAAGACAGGTATTGAAGTTCCCTTTTCTGTGTGGTATGGATGATAAGTGCAGCCCAGGTGTCAAAAAACTTGAATTGTCATTCATGCTTTTAAACTTAAAATCCTCAACCTTAGTAGTAGTAGATGCTATTCTACTTCATTTCTGATTTTTTTTTTTTTTTATAAAATACTGTATGAAGGCTGCTCACTGTCTTTATAAATCTGTTCCTCAGTGAAACTTTGAACAAAATACCAACACAGGCTCATGAACAGAAATAGCTGGGGTACATTTTGTGTCACAAATCAACTTCCTTGACAAATTCTTTTAGACTGTTACTTTTGCTGTTATGTAGGTTCATTTTTCATCTCAAAGAAAATGAAGTACTGATACCAAAAGGAAAATAATTACATGCAGAGATGCATTTTCTGTTCTCCCTCCCCCTTTTGTCACTAATAGTTAACAAATATCTAAACCTCTCTCTCTTAATTGTGTTGCACTAATGCCTTCATACCATCTCTTTGCTCAGCTGGAGTTTCAGGAAACTTTGAGCAGAGATGTCATGGTAGTTGCTGCAACAAATAGGCCAGATATGTTGGATGATGCCTTACTGCGCCCTGGAAGGTTAGACAGAGTGATCTATATTCCACCTCCAGATCTAAAGGTGATGTATCACAAATCCATCTCTGGTGTTAAATGGGGAGGGAAAAATTGCCAGCATACTTTCAGAACAAAAAGAACATAATCTAATGTGCTTCAGAATTGAGGGATGGCTCACTGGAGATGAGTTTCCAAACTCAAGATACATGAAGAATGGAATAATTATATTTGTAATTTAAATACCAGTAATATTTGTCCTGATTATGTAGGTACACTGCTCATAGAAAGTAGGCAGCAATCTGAAATAATTGTCTGTTTACAAAAACAAACTGTAGAAAGTATTGTAAGAAGTTGGCTGTCCTTCAAATCTTCGTTTCCTGTAAATGTTCAGTGGTATAAATGTTTGTCCTCCTTCCCCATCCTAAAAAGAGATGACCCAAAGCAGACTGTGTATGGAACCATATCTAAAATTGGTCTCATTTCATGAAGTGATGAGTAATTGAATACTAGACATGAATATGGGAACCATAAGAGTAAACATCTCCGTTAATAATACTTTACTCTTTCACCAAAAACATAATTCTGATTTTGTATTTTTCTGTATTTCCTTAGTTCTAACATTAAATTTTGAACTGTTTTGGAGAGGGAGTAATTGTTTGGTTTGGTTTTCTCATCAATACCTGCCACCTCACAGGGAAGGCTTTCCATTTTGAAAGTCTGCACAGAGAAAATTCCATTAGATACTGACGTGTCACTGCAGGATATAGCAGCCCTAACAGACCTCTTCTCTGGAGCTGATATTGAAAATCTGTGCAAGGAGGTAAGGAATGTTTTTATGGTTAATCTGTGGAATAAACTATAAGGCTTTTCAGGGGGAAAAAGAGAACTAACTCATACACGTTACCAAGCTAACTGTAGTACAGCTTATTCCTCAATTGAAAATGGAAGGAGAATGAGTAAAACAGGAGTGAGCAAAAGTTAAAACTTAAGATAAAAAGCCAAATCAGTATAAAGGTTCTCTCTGATTTCCAGGCAGAAGTAGATGATCGCACTGGTAGAAGTTATACTACCTTCTGTATCACATGGCCTTTCTAATTCAGGCTCAGATCCAGAGAAGTTTTTTCTGTGTACTTTGAAGTGACAGTGGCATTTTTAGCTGGAAAAAAAATCTAAGAGTGATCAAGGATACATTGTCTAATCCAGACAACAGAACTAAAGGTGGAGCATGCACTGATCTGTCATAAATACTGTAAGTTGTACAGCGCTGTTTTCAGATAGTTTGTCTAAAATTTGGTTTTGTGTAACATATTTGAATTACTTGCAATGACTTCTGTGCAACTTAAAACCATGAAGCACTTCTAATATTTTCTTTTTCAAAGGCTGCCTTGCTGGCATTGCAGGAGAATGGACTTGAAGCAACTGCTGTAAAACAGGAACATTTTGTGAAATCACTGGAGACTGTAAAGCCATCTTTAAGCATGAAAGACTTGGAATTTTATGAAGAATTTATAGTCAAGAATTAACCACTTGAATCATAAAGGAATTATGTGGCTTGAGTGTTATTAAGTATGTCTTGGGGACAGATCTGCAATCACTTCTCTCTTCTGCTTTTTTGTACTGTATTTATTACCACTTTCAATTTGTATGAAATACAGTAAAAGTTCACTTCTGAAAAATGTGTGGTGTCAGTAATAAATAGAACTGGGGTTGCTGGGGCTGGGTTGAGATACAGGAAGTACTGCACAGCAGCTCTGTTTCATTACAGATTCCCTTATTCTAATTACAAACTCAAGCAAGATGGCAATGTTTAACTTACTGTGAGGTCCAAAAAGCACAGTGAGTGCTAAAAGAATAGAAGAACACTTCCTTGGGAGGTGGGAGATGGTTCCCATGCAGTACAAGCTGCTTTAGATGGGAGTGCTTACAAGCTGGCTTTCTCAAAAGCATGTTCCAAATTTCAGCACCGGAGCAAGGCTTTTGTGGTCGCGGCTGGGGCAGAGGGTCAGCCCTTGGCGCTCTCGGGCCTGTAGAAGTTCTGGTTCAGGCCGGAGCAGGAGCGCGGTTTCGCAGCCGCGTCCCGCCGTGCCTCGCCCGCGCCGTCCGCCAGGGGGCGCCCGCGCCGTTTGCCCTGTGCTGCCGGGGGTGCGGGTTGCGGGGCGCTGTGCGTGTGGGCGGCGCCGCGCGCGTCCACCGCGTATATAGGGCGCAGAGCGCGCTGCCCGCGCCGCTGCCCCGTGAGCGCTGCCCGTCCCGTCCCGCCAGGTAACGGAGACCCGCTTCTGCTCGGGGGCCCGGCGGTGCCGAGGAGCGGTGCGCTAACGGGGCCGTTTGTTGCAGGTCCGCAGGCAGGATGAGCGCGAGCTTCTTCCAGCTGCTGAGAACGAAGAAAGAAGTAAGTGTGCCCGGCGGCTCCGCTCGGGGCTGCCCTGTGCCCGGCATCGCAGCGCAGGGGATGGGAAAGCAGCGGGCGTAGCTTCTGCGCTCCTGGTAACCGCTCCGGGCGGCTCACCTCTCCCCTCGGTGTCTTTCAGCTCATCCCGCTGATCGGAGTCGTGTCCTGCGCTGCCGTTGGGGCTGTTGCTTTTTCAGTCTATTCCCTCGTCAGCAAATCCGACGTGATGTAAGCGAACGCTGCTGCTGGAGCAGCCTGGCGCTGCCCCGATCCCTGCTTTCTAGGAAGAGTCAGAAGTCCGAGCCAAGTTCCAGAGCACCGGGAATGACAAAGTTACCGGCGCGTTTTAAGTGCCGACGAAGTTAGCTCATTTAGGCTAGAGGGAATGGTCTCTCAGCCGTGAATAGGTCACGTTTTTTCTGTGCTTTAGGTGTAATTGGCGATAGATGCTCCCACAAAGGGACGCTGGGGGCTCAGGGATGCAGGCAGGCAGGCTGGTGCACAGCGTGTGATAGTGTGCCCTGCCTGTAAGTCAGAGCTGCGATGGCTCGGCCATGCCTTGCAGCCATGCACAGCTTATGGGAAAATGACTTCACTTTAAAGGGACAGAAAGGAACATCTTTAGCCACCGGGATTAAAATCCCCTTTTTATTTGAGCCTTTATTCGCTTTTGATTCTCAGCTTTCTTGCCTTAGGATGGCGCGTTATGCTTGAAGGAGACTGGCTGTGTTTGGTGTTCTGGGAGCCACAAGTGTTATCTAACACTGAAAAGAGAAATTCCCAAAGCTGTATAGATGTGTTTCAGGGAACTGCTTACCTACAGGAATAGTTGTGCTGGTTGTAGATTGCTCATACTGGAAAAACATATGTAAGTTCACAGCCTAAAACACAGTACCTTACTGCTTTATCTTCTCTTTAAGCATTAACAAGGGTGCCAATCCAGAGCCATGGGAAACCATTGATCCTACCCAGCCTCAGAAGGTAATTAACACAAATAATAGTGCCAACGGTGTGTGTTTCCAGCACGAGGAATGCACTTAAATAGCTGTGTAAGAGCCAGGAAAATGTTAATAAGAACAAAAAAAGAAACTGACACTTTTAAATAAGTGGAGCTTATTGTGTAATGAATCTCATTGCATTATTTAAAGAGGGGAATTCAAGTATTTCATTCCAGGCCTGCTTGGCCCACAGCTGCTTCTTACCCCGTTCCACTGCTAACAGTGGAAGTATGGGCACAGGGGAAATGCTGGTTACACTCACTTGGTTCCTGAATTACAAAATTGACTGAGGATGTTTTTGAGTACCGCAGCTGTAAGGAGAAACATCTCAGTTCAGTAGAGCACCGAGGGTGATGAGGAAAATAAAATTATTTGGGGATAATTGTTAAGTTCATTAATTGTTTCATATCGGGGTGATTCTGTTCAACAAATTATTGATATCATATCCCTTGTTGCTTTTGATTACTTTTAATGGGCTAATGTAAAGCTATTAGAAATACTTCACTGATAAATTGATCTATGATATTGTAGGAGGGAAGACTAACATTTTACTGAGAGAGAATGGAATACGGGGTTTTGCTGATTTCTTTCATATCTTCCTTTTGATTTCTTCCAGCTATTAACAATCCATCAGAAATGGAAGCCTATAGAAGAGTTGGAAAGTGTCAAAAAGCTTACGAAGTGACAAGTTTCTGTTGCCTCTAAAGGTACTCTATGAATCTAGTGGAATCACTTCTGCACAAACTTGACTACTGAAATCAGTGTGCGGAAATGCTTCTGCTACATTTCTAGGGTCTCCCTCCATTTTTTTGGGCTCTGGATGAGGAGTTTCTTGATGCCTTAGAAGTTGGCATGCAACATCCACTTAGTCCAAAATTCTGTGTCAAAGCTCGTTTTCAGCAGGTGTTTGATGCCAGATGTTGAACATTCAGATGGTAATTGAATATGAAGAAAGTTTTCACACTTTTTAAAATAGAATTTTATAGCTCATTTTCCTCAAAATTACTGTTGTCGTTTTGTGATAATAAAATCTATGTAACATTTTGCAACATTCCTTGTAAATTCTGTAAACAGAAACTACCCACAAGCTCTTCTAAAGTATTCCTGGTTTGCTCCCCCTTTGTCCTATACTTTTATGCTGTATGTGCACTGTGTACAGACCAGATATTGTAGCCAGACGATGTTTATGTATGGCAGCATATGTTGCCAAAGCTACGCTTGCATTTATTTCCTACATCAGCTGTAATGACAACTTCTGTCCAAGTTAAGGTTTGGTACTAGAACTTACATGTGCTCTCAGCTTAGACTACCAAGGAGTCTAATAGATGAGTTAAGGCTATATTTGGGAATGCAGGGTGAAAACATAACTTCAGCATGGCTAAAAAGGAATTAAAAATGAGTTTGTTACATTTGAATGTTGTTCCTGTTTAAACTTTTAAAAAGTTACTGGGAGTAGAAAATTTACATTATCCAAAACTACTTTGATCATTAAATTCTTCATCTTCTGCTAAGTAGTTCACATGCCAACTTAATTTTACTGCATAGCTAGCAGGGCTTTTTTTAACATTTTAGATACGAGCTATGAGGGACTTCTTCAACAAAGAGAAAATGAAAGAGATGAAAAGTAGAAATGACTCTTCAGAGAGACGCTTCCTCTTTAAGCATTTGTTTTCTGATAGATTGGCTACGGAAATGATGCAACAGGCAGACCCTCACCAAGCTGGGGAGGGCATATCTGCAGGCAATGGTAGAACGATCCTTTTCTGAGCTCCTTCTGTAGGTGTCCCATTCCATGCAGTTTCACATGCATTACAAAGTTTCTTCTACACTGGATAATAAGGATGCATGTTACTGGCTGAGAGGAAGGAAGAAAACTGAAACAAATTAATTTGAAGAAGCCCCTCCTCGACTAATAGTGAACCTCCTGCTGGAGGTTGTTCTGCTGCAGCAAACACCTAGCAGGCTGGTAGTGCAGCTTCGGAGGATTTATGTTTTCTTAAAGGTGTATTTGATGCTGAGAAGAAAAGCGTTAAAACGTTATTTGTGACACTTGTGCTAAGTTGCAGCGTAAAATTTGGATAAGTAAGTATGACTCAGCAGCATTTAGGAGTGACAGGAATTAGAGGACTTCAGAGTACAAGCTTGGCTTTCATTTCATGGAATGACACTATGAGATAAATTGGGTGGTATGTAACCACAAAAACCAGTGTTCTGGGGAATACAACTTCTGAGCATTTAAACAGAAGCACTGTAAACTATTTTCTGTAAGTTATTGCTTATTTCCATATTTTGCTTGTCTGTATCAATACAAAAACATACTGCGCTGTGCTCTGAGTTGATACATGAATTAAATGAGTTTGTCCTTCAGTAAATCACTGGTATGGTCTTTGAATACCATTGTTTCTTTTGACCTGAGTATCTAACAACATCAGGGAAACAGCTGTGAGTCACTTGTACATAATCTTTTGTACTGAAGCAGTTCTCAGTGGTGTCTGCCAGTAGTGCATCAGGCAGTGTGCCTGCCATCATTCACAGGTTGTCGCTTCTCATTTTATCCTGAGGCATAATGGCAAAGGTAGTGCAGTGTTCTGCTTTGATAGCTGGCTTTCAGTGTTTTGTTGTTGCTGTTTTTCCATAATGTAATAAATCTCCTTCTGCACCTCAAAAAGATGATGAGGAATGCTCAAGTTCTCAGGACAGCTTTTTGAGTTCTCAGGCTGTCCTTGAGAACGTTCTCCTGCACTGATGAGCTTGCTCTAAGTAAGGTGCACCATGGCCAATTACTGTATCCACCCCCCAGAACTACCCAACATATGTCTATAAAGCAATATACAAACTATTTCCTTGTTCTACAAGAATCAGAGCTAAAACAGTAAGGATCTAATCCATTGAATTTTATGAGCTGAGATTTGCGAGAACAGTAGGACTTCCATGTCCCATGTAGCGCAAACCCAAGGCTTTTTGTTCCTTGTGCAATTTAGAGGCTGTTGAAATAGACTTCACTTCGTCCCTTCTTCTCTCTATTCTTTACTTGTTCAGTCTTCTACTTCCCTGTCTTCTAGGCTTTTAAGTTTTAAGCAATCACTATCTCCACTCACCCTCTCTAGTACTTTTCCAACTTACACATGAATTACAAAGTTTCATTATAATATTCACTGGCTTGTTAGATTTTTTTATTATGGATTTGGATTAAAAGCCATTTGAAATACAGTTACGCTTTTCTAGCTGCAGCTGGCCGGTAGTTATTACAGTCTTTTTTTGAAGAGTTTTCTGGAAGAATAGAAGGTTGCTCTCTGCAGTATACATGCAAACTGAAAAAATATTCCCCCTGAAAGTGGAAGTTTGATGTAACTTTGTAAATAAAAGAGTAAGTCCATGAGTTCAAACAGTCAGCAGAAACTTATAACAAATATTAAAAATAGCTGCTTTCATGAAGCAGTAACACACAGCAGAACCTGAGTGCTGGTGTCTGTTCTAGGATCTGAATCAGGCTTTTTGAAATGCCAGCTCTTTCACGCTCCTGTAACATTTCCTTTTTATTTTAGGTGTCCTTTTTAAATTCCTGATCTGAATTTCACTTACTCTGTCCCAGCCTGTCACTGACATATTTACTTTTTTTTCTGAGTTAATGGGAGATTTAGGGCCTGAGAAGGATGAAACATATTTGCCAACCTCCTTTTAGCATCTCTCCTTTCTCCATCTTATCTGATGCACAGGTGAAACATGTCCTGAAAGAAGCCATGATGTGGAACAGGCTTGGTAGCCTGGATGTAAGGGCCATCATTTTATGTGTGAGCTTCTGTAAGTTCACAAGATCTTTGAGAAAATTTCAAACGCTCTTCAATTGAATGCTTTTTTGCTTTCAAAAAGGAGGGTTAAGCTTGACAATAAAAAAAAAAAAAACAAACCTAATAACTTTATATTCCTTTTGCTGTGCACTTTTGTTTTAACTACAAATCTTTATTATTATAGTAGTACTTCAAGGCCTTATCCACAACAATATGAGATTTGCAGGATCCGAGAGCTGTGCTGAGGTCCTTGTTTGGTTTTCTTTGCACGCGATAGCCCATGTCAGCATTCTCTGCCTGATGCTCTATGGTTCTCTGCTGTATTTTACTGCCTAGCTACTTCATCGGTGCATGTGGTTTCTGTAGTAAGTGGTGGTAACAGAGGGGCCCGGTGCAATCATTAAAGGAAATTGTTCATACTCCAGCTGTCATCTGTCTCAGAACAGAGGGCTGTTGCCCCCAGGACTAGCTGTAGAAAACAAACACAAGCGATGGGACGATTCACTGATTCTGGGCAGTAGCTGGTGTTGGATGTTTCCCAAAAAAGCTTTCAGATTAAACAAACGTGGCTGCACTACTCAAAGCAGTTTTAATTCACTGTCCGAAGTCTTCAGTGTTCAGCACATCTCTATCACACAAGCAGCAGCATGAGATAACACAACCTAAAAGCCAAACAGGAATGAAAATGAAAAAGCATTACTGAGGAAATGGACTGTGGGAGTTGCAACTGTACTCAGCAGTTGTTTACCTTCAGGTGCTGATTTGAATGGAGAGCAGGTAGATTATTTGCTGAAAGCATTTTCCCTTCATGAGCCAGCCATCACAGCCAAATAAACTCTTTAGAGGAAGCCCAATGTGAATAGGCACCAATAGGCCTCACCTGGTTCAAAGATCAGACTTCTGCAGGGCACTTCATGGAGGCTGTATAAGCCCTGCCCATGCTGTACCTTGGTCTAAGGATCAAAGGATTCTGGTTTAACAATCTGTTATTTTCGAATAACGTTATCACATAATCATAAAATGGCTTGGGTTGGAAGGGACGTCAAGATTGCACAGCTCCAATCTCTGCCATGGGCTGTGTGCCTCCCAGCCCAGCTGCCCAGGACTGAGCCTGCCTTGGGTACCTCCAGGGACGGGGCGCCCACAGCTCTGGGCAGCCCATGCCCGGGCCTCACCGCCCTCTGAGTGAAACATTTCCCCAACATCTAATCTGAATCGTGCGTTGTGGGACAGATGCATGGTGTCTCTCTGTCCCCATGCTCTTTGCTCCATGCCTGGCAGAGATCTGTGCCGCTGGAGCTACGTGCTGTAACACGTGTTACTGTGCCCCTCGCCTCGTGTGCCTCGTGTGCCTCGTGTGCCTCATGTTTCCACACGAGGTGGCCATGCTGCGTGGCAGCCATGTTGCGCAGCAGCTGTGTTGGCCTGGCCTGGCTGGAGGCAGCAGCTCGCTTCTTACAAAGCCTTCTGTGTGAAACTCCTTTCACTTTCTTCTTGCTGCATCCCTTTGTTGCACCTACTGAAACAAGCACACCAGGGCACCTTGGTCTAACTTATTTACACTGTTACTTCTGTTTACTAATACAGCAAAAGCTGACTGGTCTCTGTTTCCTGACAAGAAAATGGCAAAGTAACTTGCTGATGTTCTGTGACTCCGAACTTGAAGTGGTGAAGCAGTTTCTTATTCCTAAATACTGTGATTCATCTGGATTCCTGTAGCCTTGTAGAACATGGTGCTGGCAGTCCAATCAAGGACTGTGAAGCAGCTTGCTTTCTTTTTGTTTTCTTTTCTGCTATTTTTTTAAAGAAATCGGGAGATGTTATTTCTTTCAGCTCAAATTCATTCAGACAGACTCTGGATGGCTTTGCTGACTTCATCCTCCAAGTGTTGCTGAAGCAGGGGCTTTTAAATATGAGACTATAACAGCAATTTCTTTTTTATTTATTAGTTTACTTGTTTTTAAAAGTAGTATTCTCTGCTGCAGTGAATGAAAGCTCTGTACAGACGCTGATGATACCAGACGGTGTCAAACTGAGCATCCACAGACTCAGGACGAAATGTCAATAGCAGCAAAAGTAGACTGTGGGGATCAGTGTTGCCTAAAAGAACATCTGAGAAGTGATGCGGTCACAAGGCAGTGCTGCCGGCTGTCCCACTTCGCAGATACAGCTTCAAACCACTTCCTGCCATTTCCCTGCTTCGTATGGCACTTGCTATGTGTCTTTTCTGATAGGCCAGAGGTAGGCTACCAGCAACTGAGTGCTTGTGTGGTTCATTGGCCAGAGCTCTACTTTGCCTTCTGAAAGGGCTGATGCACGCTGTGAGGTGCAGTGAGCACCTGCCTTGTCCCACTGGGTTGTTATGTGGATTAATGGCCTGCAGTTCTGAAAAGCTGGAGTTCCTTGTATTCCCATTTCAGCATTTTATAATGTGTGGATTTTTATTTGCAGATTTTACGTAGGGTCAATACAGTGCAGTTGGTTTAAATACATTTATTACATGATGTGATGTGTAGAGAGCAAATGGGGCACCTATAGGTGCAAACAGATTAGCCGAGATGTCAGAAAACCACACCAGTTTGAAAACCTATTAATTATAAATAATGTGTTTAAGCTTTCATCTTCAGCAAGGCTCTTTCATTCCTGGTTGCTGGTTGTGTTTTTTTATCATTATTATTTTACTTAAAGTGTATTTGCAGTAAGTAAATGCCATCCCGTACCAGACTTGATGCTGCTGCAGCACAAACAAGGAAATAAGGGCTGAAAAAGCATTACTTGTAATCTCTGCTAGTCATAGGAAAATAGTATTGAACAGCCAAAGAAAAGTCACATGCTTGTTGTGAATCACTGCCTGACTACATAAAAACAGCCTTCCTTCTTTCATATCGAAGCAGTTCATGTTTCATGTAATGATGCATCTCTCTCACCTTCTACAGTTCAGTAAAACCTGGAATGTTTTTTGTCCTTTTCAAGTCATGCTGCAGGTTTTTAGAAGAGCCAGGTAGAACTTGAGTGAGACCTTAGTTCTGTGTCTGGTGAAACATTAGCTTTATGCTGCCTTTACTGCATTTGTTTTTCCTCTTGTGAAATGCTTTGAATGAAACACAGTTAGTCAGAATAGGGCATTTGGCTTAAAGACTGCCAGATCCACCTTACTCCTAGAAGCAGAAGTATTTACCAAAATCCTGGTCATAATGACTTGCAGTTCTGTTCACTGCCTCATTGCCAAGCTCTGAGCCATAATTTTCATGGTACAATAATATGTCACGCAAAGTAGTTGTAACACAGTTAGTTTGAAGTTATGGATGTCAGAGAGATGTGGAATTATTACCACAGACCTTGCAGTGGTCGTGTATGTATGTATGTTGTGTACGAAGTGCCTGCGCATTGAATTGCCTTCTTAAAAGAAGGACATTTAAGAATTGGGCATGTCTCATGTTCCTTTGGGTTCATTAGTTCAAAGAGGAAACTTTTGTTGTGTACAAAGCAGGGTGGTGTGTGGATCTTTCTATTTGAGCTACGTGCTGAGAGAATCACCTCTTGATACATGTAAAGAACAAGGAGAACACGCCCTTATGGGGCAGCACTTCAAAAAAGCAAATTCCCACCTAAGTTATAGATGTATTTATGGAAGAGAAGCTGAGTTTGACTCCTCAGTCTGTTCTTCACAGTTGTGTCTTTGGCGCTGACGTAATATATGCTCCTCAGTAAGAAATACTAAAGCACAAGGGTGTCCTGATACTGTAGCTAGAGATCAGCATTTTGTTGAAGCAATGTGTAATCAGTTATTGAAAACATGAGCTAAAGGAACTTCTTCATCTATCGGGGTTCTTTTATTCTTCACTAAACAGACGAAAGGATGCATGGAACCCAACAGAGAACAGACACATGAGCAACAATTCTCTTTATTATTACACTCTCTTAATTGATCCAGAAATGCCGGTGTGTTCCATGGTTGGCTGCACGGTGATGTAAAGGAGATCAAAGTTTTTGGGTTGCAGTATGGAGCTCTGGCTTTATCTGTTTTGTTTGGCTTTTAGTTGCCAATTCCCATTTGTACACAAACACCTCGTGTCACCAACAAAGTATCAACTACTTTAAAGAAAGTCACTGCAGTATGAATATCCCCACTGAGCCATGACAGTGGGCCAGGCAGTAAGAGCTCATCTTGGTGTGTGACCCTTGCTCTGTGGGCTGCTTCTTTCCAGCTAACTCTATAAGAGGTAGGATTCCCCTTCCTCCAGAGAAATCTCAAGTGTAATAATTCTGACAGAGGAACAATGACATTCAAAGACAGCTCACTGATCTAATGTAGTAAGACATGTTGTATGGCTATCAGCAAGTGAAGGTATCTAAAACCTGTCTTTGTTTACAGCTTGCTGTACGCACCCTTTAACATTTGATAGCCAAGGAGTTGCTTGCTTTTGTATTTTCTATGCTATGCCTTGACCTTTGCTCCATGGCAAGTCCAAGCAGCAAGGATAGCTTAAGACCATCATAATTTGTTCCATCAAGGTTAAATTTAAAGCAATTATCAAAGCACTAAGAAACCAGTCTGTGCAACCAGTTGGGCAGTTTCAATTTCTGATTGATGTTGTGTTCTCTGCAGAAGCTTGCAAAATACAGAATTGCTTAATAGTTTGAAGAAATGAAAGAAGACTTTACAGGAAGGAGGATGTGGTTCTGAGTTGTTTCACCTCTGTGTGAAGCCTTTTGGGCTGGATTAAACAACAATTAAACATTAAACAAATTGTACCAGTGTAAGCACTGCAAACAGTGCTTCATATTTATCTCTGTTTCTCCCTAATTTGAAGAAAAATTACTACTCTGTGTATGGCTTTGGTTCAAAGTGTCATCAGATCATTTATTTTAATAATAAAACTTTTTAAAGAGTTGTTCAGGTAACATGAATTCAGCATCCTCTAGAAACCGATGGCTTGCATGATAAGTAGCGTTGTTTACATCAGTGAATTTACTTTGCTCTAATTGCATTTGATAGCCTTACCCACGGTCAATTTCCAGTCATAGAAGTTTTATTGCACACCTGAAACTGCAGGGAGGCAATTCTCTGTACTCTTTGGGTATTATTTCTATAGAACTTTAAAGAAGTATCTTTAATCTTTCCCAGTAATCCAACTGCAAATCAGCGTTCTGCTTGTGCTTTTCCTTATTACACCCCTGATCAAGTGACATCCCATTAAACAGCACTCCCGTCCTGGTGGCTGCAGGCAGGGCACCATCTCCTGGGGAGCTGGGGAAAGGCCTCGAACACCTGCCTGTGCTGTTTGATGTCAGTGTTCTTATCGTGGGTTTGGAGAGAAGACCACATGGAGTTTATGAAAATAACGAGTACCTGTATTGTAGGTTCAAATATTCACCAACATCTGAGCTGTGAAAATGTTTCATTATGGTATTTTTCCTCAAAAATTCACTTTGAATTTAAAGGGCCATTTACTATTATCAAGTATCTGTTTTTATTTGCACCTCATCAATTCCCTTGGGGACTTATTAGCTAAGTTCTGTGCATGTTATAGGAAGAGAGTTGGGATCTCTCCATGCACATGAGCCAAAAGAAAGTGTTGCTGCTTGGCTCCTCACATCAATTATTTTGCTGCACCAAAATCCCTGCATATATCAGTACTGCCCAGAGTGTGAAACATCCTGTGGACGGGCAGCCTGACCTGCCTTCACATACCCCTGTGTTTTGGAGGCTCGTATCCCTGAAACTTATCTTTCCAGCAGGCATCACAGTAAGGAAATTAGAAAGCTGACATACGGACAAGAATGTGCTTGTGTTTACAAAATGGCTCACTGTTTCAACAGAAATGGTTGCTGCAAAAGGTGTGCATGCTTCACAGCTTTAACAGAACGGCTGCCTCGTGCACTTGGTACTGGCAGAGTTCAAAGGAAACAAAATGATACTGAGAAAAAAGCAGACCAGGAAAAAGTAAAGGAGTAATAAAACTGTTTTGAGTTGTCTTTATCTTGCAGCTGTAAGCACAGAAAGCAGGTGTCCCTGCATTCTAAGAGCAGAACTCGTGCTATCTGGATGGTTCTAAAAGGGAAGGAACGGCGTTTATTTTACCAGCTTCTAAAGGTACTTCACAGATGGAAAGGACACACATCATCCTTCCTGGAGCCCTCCGTGGAAATGGGATGAGAAGAGCAGAGAGAAGAGGTTTCCCAAAGCACAGCGGCATTCAGCATCCAGTATGTCCTCTTCAAAGAGGGAGAAGGAGATGGGAGGCGGATTTAGGGAGATAGGAGGGATGGGGAGGACCTACTTTGGTTTTTGTGTACAAAGGAAATCAAGAAGTTTCAGAGTAGCTCTTTGATATCAGTTCGCAACTTGGAGGCTGGAAGACAGATCATACAGAGAGCAAAGAGGAACTGGACTTCAGGTGAGCACGTACTTGAACAGAATGGGAGAAAGGAGGGCTTGCAGTGTTTTTGGATGTTTTGCACCCATAAACCTCACACCACACAAGCTGCACATACAGAGGGTGCTGACTGGACATTAGTGAAGCTGTGGAGACAGCAGAGTATTGCAAGAAAATGGAGTGAGAAAAGCGAAGTAACTTAGAGGCAGCTAACATGAGCTTGAGCTAGGTGTGCTAACCTGGGACAACAGGATGTGCTTGGAGCAACCAGGGAGAAAAGAGATCTTGACAATACCATTTTGGATTTTGAAGACCAGGTTCAGGTACGACTATGCATGTAGTAATTCTGCTGGTATAGAGGGAAATGTGGTCAGTATTGAAAGGTTTAAATGCCAACACAATTTAGAAAAGAAAATCAGGATTAAGCAAAGAAAGCAAATGAGTTTCTGTTAATTTTCTTTTTAGGGTAAGAATAGTTCAGGATATAATAGTGCAATGTGAGGGCTTGCAGCTTGCTTCTTGGCTTTCACAAGTAGTTGGAGAGCAGCTTGAACCAGTGATTGAGCATCTGGTGGGAAGCCAACCCAGGGGAGCTCAGGTGCATGCAATGCAATGCAATGCATCTGAGTGACTGGAAGGGATGCAGTCAGGATCCACCCCCTCCCAGACCTCATTTAAGGGCTGGCAGCGGAGGCAAGGAGATCTTGCTGGAGTTTCTTATCTACCTGATGCTTTCTGGAGGTAAGCAGATTTTTTTTTCCTTTATTTTCTGTGGCTGTTGCATTGGAGCAAATCCTCACTTGCTGCAAACTAGGACCTTGCTGCTCTGCTGTCATTGCTGTGCTTTCTATCATGTTACAGTTGTCATTAAGGCTGTATCTGTGGTCCAAGATAGGATATGTGAAAATCAGGATGAATTTCTCCTACATAGATTGCAATAGGTGGCAGAATTCTCACAGGTTTTCAGCAGTTTGTCCACCTATAGCAATCTGGCATAGCTCTGGAAAGCAGAGAGCCTCGCTGTGGAAGCCTCTGATCTTAGGCATCTATTGGTTAGACTAATCATAAAAAGTAAACAAGTTCTTATTTCCTATAGAAGGGTTTCCTGTGGAGATAGAGAAATACAGAAAAACGTAAATGATCTTGTGATGGTCGGAGGAAATAAACAGGATGTGCTGCAGAGCTGGTTGGAAAGGCACCAGACTTGATTCTTATTCCCAATAATGCTATGCTTCTCCAAGGTGGTACTCAAAATGACCCTTCAATATCTATAAAGATAACCTGACTTCTTTCATCGACACCTCACGCTTCCTAGAGTACAGATGTTAATGCATATTTAACCATACATTCCCAGCAGCTATACTGCAAAGTAATGTTACTTTCTGTACACTTTTCTGTTCCACATAAGTGTACTAATTGCTCTTACGTGGTTAGATTTATAGTTCTGTTTTGTGCCCTTCCATTACTAGGGGAATTGCAAATTAAGTGTCTTCCTTTTGATGTTGATTAGTAACGAATTCAGTATTGGGTTCTTATGTGAAATGCAGCAATGCCAGACAACTTTTGCCCTTTTGACCAAGAAAACAAATTAGAGGTGGTCCACACAGATGTAACTATCCATACGAGCTTAGTTAAACCTTAAAATAGGCAATCTCCATTATCAGGATGTCCCCCAACAGCCACATTGATTTCTGTCTCCTAGATTCAGATTTCATATTGTTGCTTTTTTTCTGAAGTCCTTCCACTTAGTCTGCAGGCTGTGATAACAAGGGTCTGTCAGGTATGACTGAAGGGCCTCAGGAATGCCTTGCTGGTTGCTGTATAACTGCTCCTTCACCATAATTTGTCAGCTCATATTTTCTGAAGTTCTGTTACTGCATGGCAAACAAGAAAACTGAAGCTTTTCTACTGAAGAGGGAGCCATAGCTCATTCTAAGCAGTGTTACCAAGCTGAGTTAAGCTTGAGCGTTTATAGGCACTCTGAAAAAGAACTGCTGTAAGAATCAAAGAAAAAGGCACAAGACCTCAATGCAAATAAATATTTCATAAGACAGTATGTGAAGTTTAATAATTGATTTAATAAAACCCACAATAAAGCAACACATTTCTGCTTTTTCTTCAATTAAACAAAAGTATAGTAAATCATTACAATAAAAAAACTCCAAATACATTACATGTCTACCATACTTCAACTTCTAATTACATCAACTGTAAATCCCAAGTTAATTAAAACCTGTTGAGAATTAGTATGTGCAAAATACCTGTTGTGGTGGGAGTTTTTTTGCTTGTTTTTAGGGAATTTCTAAGAATGGGATGCACGTTTTTCATGAACTCTGATATGGCTTAATCAGTGGTAATGTTTGTATTGAAGCATTAACTTTCCAAGTACAGTGTTCCTCTGTGTCTGAGTTGTACGTACTCCCATGCTGTACTCAAGTGTCCCCATTTCTTGCCAGAACAAATACAAACATAGTCTGGTGTTATTAATACTGTGTTGTGAGTTTTCACCTCTGCAAATTCATCAAGAGGTCCCTATCTTATTCAAAAGAGAAAACAAGCCAAGTCGCTGCCAATTGTAGGTATAAATCACCCTGATGAATATGTGAAACCCTATCAAGTTTCAAGACAATAGCTTAAGTATTCACAGCTGAGTATCACTCTATCTGTTACTGGTCCAAAACTCCTTTCTGTTCCACATACAGAAAGACTTTTGATGTCAGCTGAAGTTTTGTGCGAAGACCCAAGTGCAGAATAAGCAAAAAATACTCAAAGCAAAGGTCTGTCTGTCTATTGAACACTGCAGGTCATTCTTGTTGCCCTTGGCTTCAATGCCAGTAATGACAGCAACAGGCATAAAACGTGAGCCTGGATGTATTGGCAGCATGTAGAAGGTTTGTTTTATTGTCCTGCATACATTCAAAGTACAGGGGCTATGAGGCAAAGCAATTCAGTTTCACGGACTCTGAAGTGTCAGGATGAAAAAAGTCTTTTCAAATTGCTTTGATTCTCAGTAAATAAGAAAATACCTTTCTGCCTCTGTAGGTTGCTGTGATAGCATTGTCCAGTGTGCATGAGGTCACTGAGCTTGCTTGGGTTTCATCTTATTCATAGAGCTCAGCAGTGCTGTTGTACTGGCTGTCCTGTGAGAACACTGCCATCCTGCTCTCACAGCAAAGACAAATAGGTCAGAGATCCAAGAGTGAGGGAACACCACATCTGAAACTTCTGCTCTCCCCTTGCCTTTTAGTACATCTAAGTATTTTGCACATCTGTAGGTTGGATTTGAGAGTACCTCTGTGTCAAGCACAGTTCCTATCCTTTTATTTTTTTCAATAAAGCAATCATGGAAAATGTTCAGTTACAGCACATGTATTAATTATAATTAGAATGCATGCTAATTAACTGGCCTTCTAATGTGAATTAAATGCTGGTTCAGACATTCAAAATTATTAATAAATTTTAATCTTACAACTCAAAAATTTGTAAAATAAATAACCTCCTTCTAAAGTATAAACCCTATTCTAAAATACATTACAGATAACCACTCACAGATAACCGAAGTGAGAACACTTCGGGTCCAGTGCTGGGTCTCCAGTTAAACACCAGAAGTTTGGGCAAGGATCTTCCTGTTTGCATCTCTGAACATCCAGATTAAAGCTAAGTTTCTGGTTTGGTTATGGTAAATCCTGGGTTTTGCAAGTCTCCAACAAGACAGTTTAGAAAAGAATTCAGGTAGCACTGCATGCACTGTAATTTAAAATACTGTATGAAAATTACTATTGTAAAAATACTGTCTGAATTTGAAGATCATAATGTATGGAACCCTGGCATGATCAATAATATTACAGATGTTAATTGAAATACTGAATAGTCGATGCTCCTTTTGGAGTGCAGGTACTTCTGTGGTACACAAAAGACAATTTCTAACTGTGATTTGTGAGGTATCTGCAGAACCACGTTGCAGTTTGTAAACAATCTGAAAACAACTTTGTCTCCAAACCATAATAAATTTAATAAACCGGCACGAGGGAGAGAATGAAATACATGTTCTGTAGGGCAACCACCGCACTTCTTGCAGCACCAGTTCTCCCTGCTGCATGTTAAATGGTACAAATCCACATGTTAATTATTATCATTCACTTTGAATTTATTGCTCTCAGTCTTTGACTACAAGATAAAGAATAAGGCAGCAGTTCCCAAAACACATGAGATTAGGCACTGGAACTCTGACAACTTGTGCAGGTTTTGCTTGTTTCCTGTTTGTAACTCTGAAGCTGGACAGAACACTTGTACATTCCAAACGTGTTCAACAGCAGTTGTCTGGCCTTGAACTGAACTTCCTCCCATTTAGATGAGCTACCAGGAACTGGAAAAACCAGGAAAAGATTTCATAATTCTCGTAATATTCAACCCTTTAAAAAATGGACAATCAAACTGTCTTCATATTTACCACATGGTCTTACCAACTCAGATGTCTTTATTCAAACTCCCTTATCAATTTTCTATTGTTCTGTGGCTGTGATACAATATGCACACATCTTTATCTTTTATCTGGAACCGTATCTAGGTAAAACTGTCTCTGTTAAATAGGGGTATGCAGAAAGCTTTCTTTCTAAGAACTGATATGCTTGATATTGTGTTAGATATCAATATCAGCATGTTTTGGCAACATGTTCAACTTTCCACGAATCAGATCCCTGCATTAGGGAATTTCTGAAGAGAAGTACTTAACCTCATCAAATAGGGGAAAAAAAAAAAAAATCTCTACTGGATCAACATGTCTCAGCATAAATGTATTTTCTTTCTTTGCCTAACTTCCATTTACACTTTGTCCTCGTGGGTTAATGGTTTCTATATCTCACTGTACGAAATCATAAACGATAGATTTTTTTTTCCCAGAATGCTATTTCCTGGATGTGAGTTCGTAAGAACATAAGACGAGAGATAAAGAGGTTTGAGTTTTGTCATCTGCCCCACCCCTGGCTGGACTAAAATTGCCATAGAGCAGCTTACCTAATTGCAAGTGGACTATGGCAGTTGTTTTTCCTGCAGTGAGAGACCAAACATTTAAATCTTCTATAGAATAAACATCTTCAATTTTCATCAAGTCTTCTTTAATACGATCCACATTTAAATGCCTTGGGACTCCTGTGATACCAAACGTAAGATAAAGTTAACTGTCCTCTGCAAAAAAAAAAAAGTCATTGACAACTTTCAAAACATTAATTGTTTTATATATGTATTTCTTGCAAGCCCATTCTCTGGAGCTCCTGAGGACTAGCTGGAAAAGCTCTGTAACATACACTAAGACCACCTTTCATCACTGTAATAACATCGTTAATTCAGACATCTTTATAACAGCTGGGATGCAAACAGGTACAACTCAGACATCTGGAATTCAATACCCCATCAGTGTGCTTTATCTATTCAGCTAAATCTCAGCTGTTGCCTTGGAACTAAATGAGATTTAAGTGTATTTTACCATTTTTCGCCTTCACGGCGAAAATCCATTTTTTTTCTTTTCCTAAATGACACAAGCATTTGGCATTCAAAATTCTGAGATTTTTTTTTTATTGCAGAAGTCAGCAATAATTCATATGAAACAGATGGGATGGTGCAGGTAAAAACAAGAATTTTTTTTTTTTCCTCATCCCTACATGAAAGTACTGGATTAAGCAGTAACATGGGCAGGTTAGTTACAAGAATGCAAAGAATGTTGCTGGCATTCTTCCCTTTAAGTCACCACAAGAGGTCAAAAGTCAAACATATGTATGTTCTGCTGCTTTTTTTCTTCGCCTCTTTCCTTTTCATATTGGTTTTAATTTCCAGTCTTATCTGACATGCATGCAATACTATGAATCTGTCTCCTCCTTTTACATGTGTTCACGTTAACTTTACAAGTAATTACACAAATCGTGTAGCTGACACTGGACAGACATTTACTTGTTTTAGCTGAAAGTTTTATAAATTCTACTTCTACTGTCTCGTGATGGTAAACTGTGAGCAGTGCTAAGACCTGTGTCATTCTGGTAAAGGTCAAAGACTCTTGAAGACTGCTGCAACTTAGATGAGTTGAACTGAAATCTGAACTGAAGAACTGAAAAAAAGAACTGAAATCCTAAAGCAAGATCAACAAATTCCAGACACAGCCCATATTGCTGGAGATGGTGGTTGTGACATCCAAGTGCCAGTGCTTCATTTGACATATAGAATCACAGAATGGCCTGGGTTGAAAAGGACCACAATGATCATCTAGTTTCAACCCCTTGCTATGTGCAGGGTTGCCAACCACCAGACCAGGCTGCCCAGAGCCACATCCAGCCTGGCCTTGAAACACATGAAACGCTGCACGCTGTGAGGATCTTACCTTCCAAAATTATAACTCCTGTATCACACAGAATTCGGACTGTTGTGAAAACTACCAGTATGGAAAACACATATGTACAAATAGGATCAGCAATCTTGTATTCTGGCTGGAAAGGAAGGTCCAGAGTGTTAAAAAGATGCATGAAAGTAAGTTTATTTATAAACGTAACTCAGAAATAGTTACTTAGAGCTAAAACTTCTGTATTTCTTTGTTTGAATAATTACATAACACGTAACAGCCTCTGCTTATTTTGCATGACTATATGAAGCTTATAATAGAACACAGTGTATCATTTTAATCGCTTAGAAAAATAAGTCCATTCTGATGTAATAACTACAGTTGAAACAAAAATCACACCTTGCCTCAAAATTAGCCATTCCTTACCTTGAAGCGTATGATGTACGCAGCTACAAGCACACCAATGCTTTGTACCAGGTCCCCAAGGGCGTGTACAAATGCTGCTCTCACTGCAAGGCTGCTGTGTCCGTGGCCGCTGCTGCGGGCTGTGCTAGGAGAGTTTGACTGAGGTACGTGGGAGTGAGGGTGGGAATGGGAGTGGGAATGAAGGTGTCCAGACTGATTCAGCAAAAAACCCATTCTGAAATTGGAAAAAGAAAAATGCTCCAAGAAACGGGCTTGAGAGTTGAGTGGGTGGGTTTTTTTGTGATTTTTTTTGTTTAATTTCTTTAATTCAGAACAGAACAAAAAAAGAGGTATCATTTCCTGTCTTATTTTATGAGGAAGAGGTCCAGCAAAATGACATCCCATGAGAAAGTTACAGGCCATTAATGAATTAACAGCTTATTCAAAATATATTTGAGTGTCAAGAGAAAGGGAGATCTTACATTAAGTTAACTGCAACACCAACAGCTGCTGTGATCAGCATGATATCGCCATTTATTTCATAGTCCATATGGATGGTTCTTTGAACTGCTTCATACAACAGGAATGCCATAAGGATATAGACCAGCAACACACTAATGATGGCTGACAATACTTCTGCAAACAGAAAGGAAAGAACATCATAAAAGTGAGCCTCAGGTCTACTTCTATTTCCTATTTGTACTATGGACAGACCTTCATGTGCCCAACAATATGAATAAACAGCTAGTAAACCATAAGTAACATTCACAAATAATAATTACAGAACCACAGTGTTAAGCTAGATCTAAAGATGACACATCCTTTTGTGCTCACTGTCACTTATCAGATGGATCACTGGGATCTTAACCTTCCTTTGTGAATTTGAAGATCAGGGTTGGAATTTATTTGCATTGAATTCTAACTGTTGTTCTCCCCTCTGGTCCCACACATTTTGCCCTGATACATTCCCCAGGAATCAGCTATTAGTCAGCCCATAGCAGAAAGAATATTGATTGAAGAACTTTATTCATCGAATGAAGGCGTTATTACAATACTGACCATGCATTTCACAGCATCAGAATGATTTGATCCATAGACTGAATTGGTGACATCACTGTGGGAGAAGAAACTCACACCGATGCAGTCAGCTGCTCAGCAGTGTGTCAGTGCCTGGATGAGTACCAGCATCACCAGGCAGTAATGAGGCCTTGAAAGGCAACTACCATAATCCCTGATTTCAGAGCAATGTCGAATCCTGGAAACATCCACACAAGTGGAAGCTTTCTTTACAAAGCAGGCAGATTATTCAGGACAACAGCCATTTTTTTTAATGTATTTTAAGGCGTTTCTTCAGTTTTCAGAACACTTCTTCTTGTTGGTTGAATTTGTTAAACTGCAGTACACTGGTCTTTACCAGAGAAATAACATACATAGTTTTACAACCTAAAAGCAGACTTTCTGCAGTGCAAACGAGTGTGTTCTTTGCAGTAGCTTTCACAGAGTCATTATCATGTTGACATTATAGATTTGTCCTAAGATCTTTCACTTGTGAAATGAAGCATGCACTGTATCAATGGTCTGATGGATCTGTCATTACTGACGCTGTCTCTGCAGCAGTGGAAAGCTGCCAAGTTCCATATCTGTGTTTAGATCTGCTCAGTGTCTTTCTGAGAAGGAGGTATCTCCACTCAGTGAAACAGAGCTATTTTTGGCTTAAAGAATATAATTCTTTTCAGACTGCAATTTTCATTTTTTTCATCTTCTCTAGCTCATTCCTGGATGTCAGCTTCCCTTTCACCATACAAAATGGAAGAAACTAAAGATGGAGCATACATATTATATATTCAGAAAGATAAAAAGCAGTGCTTTCTGCTGGAATTTGAGCAGGCAACTGATAGGCCTGCTGTCTTTACAAAGCAGCATTTATGGGTACTAGTGTGACGATTCATGGTTCTGCAAACAAAAGTGACAAGGAGCACTGGAAACTATTTACTGGCACATTTTAGTGCTTAGTGCATGTATGGATTACCTTAAAATGCAATGCAAAGCAGACTGGTTATGAGGCAATTCTAGTGTATACTCCCAGCTTTAAGCAGATGCATGCTTTTTTCTGTGACAGATGCTCTATCTGTACCCTATTTTTAACATTCTGTCATGTTTTAACATCTCATGAAATTCAGGCTATTGATGAACTCGCATTTTGCTGACAAGCTTCTTACAGCACATGATATTTGGAAAAATGTATTACAGCAAACACATAGCCCAGACTCAGCACTGTTCTATTGGCAGTGTTCACTGATGTGTGAAACTGTGCACTCAGGCCACTCAGAAAGGGTGCCTAAAATCAGGCAAATAAGCTTCCCAAAAAACCACCTGTGTACCGTCATTTTTCAACCATCCCATCATCAGCATTCACAGGGCCCAGATCAATGTTTTGAGGGTTTCTTGCAGAATCCTTATCAACCTCTCCTTCCTCACTGCAGCCACAGAAGCTCTCTTCCCACTCTCACAGGCTCTAGTCCTTTTCTTCCTACACAGATCCCTGTGCTGTCGCTGCTAACACAGGGTGGATGAGTAGAAAGCGGCCTCTGGTCTAGTCGAGTGCCCTGGCCAACGCAGGACCAATGATAGCAGGCTGCTCCAGGACGTTGGGTTGGGAGCATTTCCAGCAAGGGAGACTCCATGACCGGTCTGGGCAACCTCGGCTGGTGCTTGGCAACCTCCTGTCACTGGGCAGCAGAAAAAGGAGGAATTGCTGCAGGAGTGAGAAGTCCTCTGTTCTCCAGGGAGAAAACGATGGGTGATATAGATACAGGCCACCACTGGATCAATCTGGCCAGTACTTTCTTTGGCAATAAAATGAAGAAAAAAGTTGGGGATTTTTTTTGCTGGTTTTTAAAGTGAGGTGGCAGAGATCCAAAGGGATTCCTGTTTGTAGAGCGCTATGGAGATCCTGAGTTAGTAAGTGAAAATTTATAAAACTGAGTAATATATGATAAAACTTTTTTTTTTTTCCTTAAGAACCATTTCTGTTATAGGGCTATGTCATGTTCTTCCTTTGTACTATTTGGTTTTTGAAGAGTTACAAATACATAAACTGCTCAAGCTATTTTTAAATGAGGTTAAGGCACGTCTACACGCTAGCAAACATCCTTGTGGAAAGCATGAACAAATGCCAGGGGCATACCTGCAAGATCAGGTTTCAGTATTACAGGGAACTCTCATCACAAAATTAAAACTTCTTGAAAGAAAAGTTTGTAATGGGAAATGCTGGCACTGTTAATGCTTTCTTGCTAAAGCCCAAAGATCTTTGCTGGTGTACAGTTATGCATTCATGCATTAGTGACTAACTGATGACAAATGACTAGGAGTGATGGAGCTGTTGAATTCTACTGCTGTTCTGGCAGCCATCATAAGAATTAACAGTAATGGCAGCATAAGAGTTTGAAATTCCTTCAAAAAATACCATATAGAAAGCATAGAGGTAGTAAGCCATAACATTCAAAATGATCTATTTCATGCAGCATACATTCAAACTTTTGAGAAAATGCCTCCAAGTCAAGACCTTCACCTGTATATTGTAAATTAAGTAATTAATATCCAGTACAGATGGCAACCACGTGAAAGCACCCTTTATCATCATTACATTTCCAAATGTGAAGCAATGAGTCTGAAATTACCCTTCCAACATATTTCTGCTGATGTTTCTTTCCACAAGTACCCAAAATGGGCACAAGTTAAGTAACTTTTTGTACTGGACGTGAAGGGACATCTTGATTTCTTCTCTGTGCAAGAAGAATAGTGATTTATGAGACTTCTTGCAGAGCTATCTGATCCTGAACTCTATAGAACTTTTTACTTCTGGGAGTTTGCTCAGGATTATTTGTTAATCATGTTTCATAGGACTTTGTTTCCAGATGTAGCAGTTGTACTATTCTGATCAAATGATTTATTCCCCTGTGGCAATACATCCCATGCAGTGGATACACAACAGACTGTTAAACCTGAAGTTACTTTTAGGTTTGTTACTGATTTCTTTCCAGTTGCCTCTTCTTCTAGAATTACATATTTTTAGCATTATTGCTTAAAATACTAGCAAAAGCTGATATCTACATACCTAGGCGATGAAATCCGAAAGTGAACCTCTTTGTAGGAGACTTTGCAGACAGCCAGAGAGCAAGTAGGGTCAAAATAATACCACTAAGGTCAGTTAACATGTGCAGTGCATCTGTCATAATTGCTAGACTGTTAGCAACATATCCACCTGAAAACAAAGTTGGAACAGTCAAGACAGATAAGTGATTCTGGATCCTATCCTCATGGCACAACTTTCAGTTACTTATTTTCAGAACACTGCACTAAGTGCATGAAGTACCACTTATCACTGAGCAGGACTATTCCTTTGCCATTATAATCAACATGCCACGCTATAATTTAAAGCTACCATAGTTAGAAATGCAGTGAAGCGTGCTTTCCATGAGAGCTGCACAGAAAGGAGTTAGTCCTGTTAGTCTCACTGAGACTTCTTGCTTGATAACATTTGCAAACTAATTTAGTATCTCTTCTGTGTATGTTATTGCATATATTTAATTGGCTGATGATTTTATTTGAACTACAATTGTTAAATATTTTCACATAATGGATCAAGGACAGAAATCCAGTAACTTGCTGGCAGTAATTAACCCCTCCCTCCTCTTATTTTTACTGCATTATCTTTTAACCTTCACCATTCCATGTCCTGGCAGAGGTGTATAAATTCTGCTACTGTATATTGCCAACAATAACTTTCACACCATTTTCCTTTCTTATTTATTATCATATTTTTTTCATGATTATGAGCTGTATGGAGACAAACAACATCAGATCAAAAGTCAATATCTTTGTTCCGATTCCATTGCTAAATGCAACAGCAGATAGATGGCTGAGAGATTTAACAAAGCGCCTCTCTTTCAGGCAACCTTCATCCAAATGGGGAGTCAAGGACAGGCAGTGTCGTCTTCCATCTGCATGAAGATAACCCCATTTTCTCAGAAAAGACCACATCTCCAGCGTCAGCTCAACTATTACTTCATTTCTCATTTTACTTTGAGATCATTCAAACTGGAGATTCTAGCAAGCAGAGCATGCAGCTGGCGTGCCACTTGGCAGGCTTCAGGCTCCAGCCAACATATCTCGAGTAAAGGTATCTTTGTACACAATTAAAAGCCTCTTAGTGAAGAGGCTGACCACGAGGAAAGAGTGAAGGGAAATTCACAGCAGGCTGACTGCTTTCAAGATCAGTGAAAAACATGTGTGCAGCCATCTATCTGGGAGTGCCCACCTGCAGAGCTAGGCCCTTCTTCCCAGCCACACAAATAGCAAGGTTGACACTGCGGGGGTTCCTTGTTCTGCCTGTAACTACTGACTGCACCTACCTCTGTTCCACCTGTTCCTGTCCCCCAACCCCTTTATTAAGATGTCTCTAAGTCTCAGAGTGAAACTAAGAGGTTGAAACTCTGCACAGGCCATCACAGCTCCAAGATAATTTGCTTTCTCACATAATTTCAGAAGGTATGTCCTAGGAATGTGCAACTCAGCCTGTTCTATTGTCAGCACAGAATAAAACAATTACGTCTAAGGACATTCACTTCAATGCTTTCTGCATATGATCATTTACAGTACATATGTTAATCCATGAGTATGAAATTGAGAAGTGCTTCAGCCCAAGGTAAGCCAACTCCATTTCAGCTAGTCTCTCCAGAGACTACATAAACAGAGAATTCAGATATTAAAAGTAGTCTTACTGGAGCACGTGATCGAGAAAGTATCATTGAGATGAATGAAATTCTGAATTTGAAGGCCCTCTGTTTCCTACTACATAGGTTCATTGCTTGGCGAAGCGCTGCCCGGGGGCTGCTGAAACACAGTCAACAACTTGAGAGGGAGAAAACAGGAAAACAGACATCTACAACTTTCATGAAGAAGCCTTGAAAGCTCACCACTGTTCTCACCAACCTGTGAAGGACAGCAGTCCTCCCTGTGAATGATCAATTAGAAATCTCTGAACATAACTGAATGCATCAAAAAGCTGTCAAGGAAGGTGACTGGATTTGCGTTGTTTTCTGTTTCTTCATGCAAAACAGTTCCCACAAAGCGATCTGACTTCTACAGTGACTGTTCTTCAAATTAAGCAACCAACACTGATGTGGGCTGGATTCATGAGCTTGGCAGTAATTGGAAAAAAACATATGCCAATTGAGATTTCACAAAGCAGCTGCTGGAACACAATTTCCTTCATCTTGACATTGGTACCAGGCAGCAGAAAGTTTTCTACCAAATTGTCTGACAGGCTCTTCTGCCCTTCCTGCAGAAATTCAAATCTGGCAAAGATAACAGGAAGAGGTCTGTTAATGTCCCACATAGCCAAAGTCTCCCAAATACTTTGGCTATAGGTTTGTCTAAAAAGTGCCGAAATTTCAAACCAAATGGGTCAGAACACAACCCTGGGCCAGAGTGAAATACACAGAACAGTTAGTGTGCTGACTTAGGGCTTGCACGCTTCTCTGCTGCTCTTCTTGCACACTTATTCTGCTGCTGACTGCCTGCCATATGACAAGGTATTCACGTCAAGACCTACAAAAGTGCACAGATGCCCAAGTCCTACTTGTTCTCTCAGGAAATTGGATGCCTGAATATTTTATGTGTCTGGGCCTCAGCGCTGTCTGCCGCAGTGCCCAAATACTGCACCAGTGCTGGTAACCGCATACAGGAACCTGAGAATGATGAGTCCACACTACAGCAGCAATGCTTCATAAGGAGAAATCAGTCACTCTGACCTGAGCCTGCAGAAGTCCTGGTTGTAAGGGAGAAACAGTGGATAAAGTGACAGTGATAGAGTATTTTTCCTCTCAACACCTATTATTTCTGGAGCTGACCAGGCACTAGATATGGAGATATCTACAACAGTGTGAAAACACAGACTCTGTGACTTCAGCATCAAGCTGCCAACAGCTCAGGAACATTACTCAGCATTGTGCCCTTCAGATGGACTAAATTCAGTGTGTATCAGAATGCTATGTGAGTACAATTAAATGAAGTCACGCTTACCACAAATGATGTCCACAGCTGAGAAGCAACACTGCACTAACACTAATCCCTCATCAAATTTACCTGAGTTCACACTGTGCCAAAATCTCAGCCAGAGAAAAAAGAGCCAGAGGCAAATGAAGGCATTCAACCAGATCCCTGCAAGCCTGAAGCCGAGTGCTGATCTGTGATGAGCTGATGCATTGTGCCAGTGTTACTAACGATTAACCGCACATTGAAAGCGAGGTGCTGAGAGACAAAGCCACTGTTTTCTCTTAACCCACATTCCTGAAACAAGGCCCAAACAAAACTGTGGTGCAGATGCAGTCAGTTATCTGCTCTCCTTCTGAAAAAAATGGCCATTTCTCATACCACTTTTTATTTTGCTCTATGAATGTGGGACAAACGGTATCATTTTGTGGTACAATACCTGAGGCATCTTTCCTTCAAATTTATTTGCTTCTGTTTTTTTGGCTGGTGAATTACGGCCACTAAATTCACTAAATTTTCTATTATTTGGACCTGTGTGTTAAAATGTGAGCAATTTGAATGAAATTAGTTGTCAATCATTGTCTGCTGCTAAAAAGATTGGGCTCAAGTTAACAGACTGTCTAATAACTGATGGTGCAGTGCATCCCATCCAGGCACTGTGCATCACTCCCTGCTGCTTCAAACCAGCCAAAATGAAGGAGTTTCAGCATTCTGCAGGTGGCTGAGCAGCCTCAAGTGCTTGCACTGAACATCATGGGCAGATCAAAAACCAGGTGGTAACAGGCACTGATACTGCATTGGTAAGTGATCAAAGATAAATAGTACACCTCGTAAAAATGGGTAGATAATGGCAAAGGCATAACATTTAATACCATAACATTTAATACCATCCAGAGGACTTCAGACCTTAAATTTTATGTTAAGCCCTGTCACTGTAGCCACTAAATACAGTTGTGTTTTGTACAGACTGCTCTATTATGCACAGGTTCTACTCAACCTTAATAGCAAATGACAGCATGCCTTTATGAGAGAGTAATAAAAGCTGAACTTGAGCACCAGACTCACTCTTCTAGGTAAAACCAGCAGATCTTTTCCAAGTACTAACAAACAAAAGCCACAAAGAACGTGATTTAACCAAGGAACTTGCACTGTGAACTGCTAACGTGATTTAACCAAGGAACTTAACACTGTGAAGTGTTAAAACGTTGCTTGTTCTAACTTGGGTCATATGTTTTATGTCTGGTTGGAGCACACACTGGTCCAGAGCACCGTGGGACATCAGGAAGTTGTCAAGAGAGCACTCTGCACTGCACTGTTGGGCAGTTTGTCTTCCAGAGTGCATCACTGGATCTGACAGCTAGAGATAAATCCCAATATAGGTTTTGTCGTTATGTTAACGTCACTCTTGGAAACTCTATTTGCCTGCTGTCCTTGCAAACACAGCAAGATTTTATGGCAATAATTAAAAAACACTGGAGATAAAATTACCCATCCTTCATGCATACCCGTGCGACAGCACGCAGTCCTCCCTTGACAATCAGACCTTAGAAACTTACAGAACAGGAGCAATACAAAGCTGCGAGCCAACAAAATGCCCACTTTGTGCCATTCCGGGGAGGCGATGAGCTTCAGGTAAGGAAGGTGCAAGTTCTCCTTTCTTTCCTTGCACGGAAAGCACGACTGGACTTCGCTCCCGCTCCCCCCGGGGCTTATCGCTAATCGCTCCGAGCTGCAAACGGTTCCCTTCTTACGCAAAAGCGTAAAACCGAGGCCGGAGCAGCGCCCGACTCACCTACGAGCTCCCCCGTCATGAAGAGCAGATAGAGGGCGGCGGCGGCTGTCAGCCGCTTCTTGACGCGCCGCAGCTTGCACAGCTCTCTCCGGCTGCGGCAGCGGCCGCAGGGCTCGGGCCCGCCGCGCAGCGCGATGTCCCGCTCGGCCGCGGACTCATCGTCGGACGGCGGCGCGGGGTGCAGCCCGTTGGCCGGAGCCTCGGGGGCCGCCTCCGCCGCGTCGTCCGCCACCACCACCCGCAGCTTGTTGAAGCGGGGGAAGTCTTCGTCCCCCGCCTCGTCCGAGAAGTCGAAGGCACTGGAGTCGTTCAGGAACAGGGGCGGCTCGCTCCGCCGCAGCGCGGACTTGATGCTGCTCCACAGGCCGGGCCCGGCCATAGCGGCGGCGGCGGGCACCCCGCGGGGCGCGGCCGACGCTGGCGCGGCGCTCCACGTCCCTCAGGGCATGGCCCCCGCCCCGCGCCGCCGGGCCCTACCGCGGCCCGCCCGGGGACGCGGAGGCTCGCGGCCCGCC